TGGCTTTTTAATCATTTTAAGTGCTTGCTGCATTATTCATAATGGACCAGGTCTCTAGTTATTAAGTCAAGTGGCAGGATAACTGGAAAACCAACATTATTTTAAAAAACCGTTCTGAACAGAAATTACTGATAACCTCCCGGGGCCATAAGAATGCAGAGGCTTTGTACCTTGCTATTTCTTACAGTACTAAGAAAATCTTCTTTTCAGCACTAGGCGATGTTTGCTTAATTTTGTATCTTAGCATAAGGCACAGCCTGGGATTTCTTATGTTTATTGATGAACAAGCTTAATTTCTCCTTTTGGTTTGTTTTTATTGAGTCAGTGCAACAAATGAAAATGTAAAATCTTCATCTTTTTTTGGTGTGTTTGTTTTTTGCTTCAGTACTCTCAGTAAGCCAACAGGCTCCAGGTTTTGTTTTTTTTCCTGTTTCAAAATACAAAATCTTATCAAAGCTGTTCCTGTGCCAATTCCCTTACCACAAGTATCTTTGGGAGACTTTGGAATTAGACCTGAACGTTGCAGTGCAGGTGTAACGCCAACAGGCAGAACCAAACTGGGGCCCTATGGAGCTTAGTGCAGGAGCTTCTACAGCCTGAGCTAAAAGCCAGCTGGCTCTCAGCTAAGTCTGTAGAGGAAAGCCATTCTCTCAGTAGCTGGACTAAGTGCCACTACATGGGACAGTGAACCACACACAGTAGATGTGTGGGTTACACAAGCCTATGTCTGCTTTTTTACACAAGCCCTTACAAATGACTTACCTTGTAAACAGAAGCTCAAGAACTCAGCACATTCCAAGGTTTATACTCAAGGCCTCTTTAAAAAGGCAATAAGCTTGAAATCAGAAGTGCTCCAGACTTATGTCTACACTAATCAAATTAGAATCCAGATTCCAGCGATTGTCAGTACTGCTGCTGCTTGCACCAGGGTTAATCTATTAGTGCAGATGTTTTTATCACTGCGTCACACAAATCTATTCAGAACAGAGAGATAAACTGCCTCAGCCTGTGCATATTAGCTCTTCTCCTACTAGCAGTCTGTGCTAGTCTGCACTACTTCTTACTGAAATACAAATATGAGTTTTACTTACATAGGCAAGGGAGAGGTAGCAGACATGCACCCAAGAGCTTGGCTGAAAAAATTCCACTTTCTTGGTTTTAACAAGTTTTCAGGTTGAAACATTGATAGGAAAAAAGTGTGTTTGTGGGGAGGGAGGGGGATTCTTTGCTGTCACAAAAGCTCTATCCTGTTTTTCAACCAGCTTCTTCACACAAGTTGGGAAGGGGCGTGTGTTTTGTGGGGGAAAGGGATGTTATCACAGGCACTGGTGTCATCCCAGAGTCTTCTCAGATGTGTCACAAGATCTTTCCCTTCCTCCGGGACAGCCAGCAGTGATGGCCAAGAAGGACAAGAATCATTGTAAGGTATCCTGCTGTCCGAAGCAAGCTCAGCTCCCACTCGCTGTCCCCTCTTCTCCCAGACACAAATTGTTCTCATTCAGTAGCCCCAGATAAAGACGCACACTCATGCCCATATGTCCATGTGTTGGACCTCATCATTATATCTGATCTGGGTGCTGCTCTAACTAAAGTGGAGTAAAATGCAAAGCCTGTGATTAAGAACATAGGAACGGCTGCACTGGGTCAGGACAAAGGTCCATCTAGCTCAGTATCCTGTCTGCCAATAGTGGCCACTGCCAGGGTTCATCCACACAGCAGCGTTATTTCGGAATAACGGAAGTTGGAAATAACACAGTCTGCATCTACACGACAAGCAGTTATTTCAACATTATGTCAAATCATGTTGAGCTGGAGGACTTTTTACTCCGATTCCTGTAACCCTCAGTTTACGAGGAGTAAGGGAAGTTGGAGGAAGCGTGTTCTTCCTCAAACTTCCTGATTGGTAGACAGTGCCAAAATCTGAAATAAGCTATTTTGACTTGAGCCAAGCAATTGATGTAGCTCAAGTTGTGTAGCTTATGTTGGCTTTAGCCCTGCTGTGTAGATGTTCCCCCAAATGCCTCAGAGGGAATGAAAAGAACTGATAATAACCATTGATGGATCCATTCCCCATGAATTTATATAGCTCTTTTTTTTTGAGCCATGTTACTGTCTTGAACTTTACAACATACTTTGGCCAGGAGTTCCACAGGTTGACTGTGTTGTGTGAAATACTTCCCTTTTTTTGGTTTAAACTTGCTATCTATTAATTTCATTTGGTGACCCCTAGTTCTTCTGTTATGGGAATGAGTAAATAACTCTTCTTTATTCCCTTTTTCCACACCAGTGATGAATTTGTAGACTTCTATCATATCCCTCTTTAATTGTCTCTTTTCCAAGATGAAAATTCCCAGTATTATTAATCTCTTCTAATAGGGCAGACGTCCCATGCCCAAATCATTTTTGTTGCCCTTTTCTGAACTTTTTCCAATGTAGAGACACCTTTTTTTGAGATGAGGTGCATGCAGTATTCAAGATGTGGGCGTATCTAGAGTTTATATGTGGGTTTATATAGAGGCATTAGGATACTTTCTGTCTTATTCTCTATTTATTTCTTAATGGATTCCTGATTCTGTTTGCTTTTTTGACTGCTGCTGCATATTGAAGAACACATTGATTATTATTTAAAGACCTTGTCTTAGACATTCTCTTTTCCCCTTGAATATATTCTCTGAATCCATGCACTGGTTTACTTCAGCTCTTTTTTAATCAAATGTTTCTGGAAGTCTTCTGTCATATGCACAGGTCAGGGTGCTGTTGTAAGAATATGCATAATTTTCTTTATTCTTAAAGTTAATATACGTGGTGGAAGAGCAAATGGTCAGTCAATTTAAAAATCTCTTGATAGCACTGTAGTTTTATCTTTTTCTGATCAACATAAAATTTGCAAGCTTTGTTTTGCTAGGGCCAAGGGAAAAGCTGCTTAATGCAAAATCAGCAAACTTTTCCTACAATTAATATTGAAATTGTGCCATGAAAGTATATAAAAAGCCCTGCAGAGCTTCACTTAAGGTAGAGTTATGTTCATTGCGTGATCGTTAATTATTGATTAATTCACAGACAGATATCCGGAAATTTATTCTTTTAAAGTGGGTTGT